CCCGCCTTGGCCTCCCAGAGTGCTAGGATTACAGGCGTGAGCCACCGCGCCCGGCCCTAGAAAGGACATTTTTTAAGTATTTTAGTCCTATTTAAAGTATACTAAAAATACAAGTTTTATAGAAAGGGCTTCAAACGTTACTGAAAAAACTATCTGTCTGTTCTTCACTTTAACACCCTTCTCTTTCATCTCCTGACCCTAAAAACTAAAAGTCAAACAAATCCTCAACGCTCTTTCTCTACTGAAAATGTAATAAGATGTCCATTTTGAGGTTAAAAAATCATATGAAAAGGAATCTCATTCTGTTGAACTGTCAGTCTACTGAAAATTTTCTTACAGTCCCATTAATTTACTGTAATTTTCAGTTTCCAAATACAAAAATACAACAATTCTTATTGAAATCTATACGCTGGTAGTTTTAGTACACAAAAAAAAACCAAACAAATTATTTACAAAATTATACAGCTTAAGAAAAAACTCTGTACAAAAAATATATAAATCCTTTGTTCCCTCTATCACGTTTAAACTGTCAGGACTCAAAATATTCACCACAATGAATCTTTCAAAATATATACTGACTGAGCCACAGACATCAAGAAAATTTCATTAGAGATGACGGAGGAGTAAGGAGCAAGATTGCTTATGCTAGATACCCTATTCTAATGTTTTCCTTGTTTTATAAGCTTATTTTACCTTCAGTGTTATCAGAAATATAACAATAACCTAGAAAGAGTAAGTCCTTATTATTATGAAGGGAAAATTATACCAACTTAAAATGATCCTGGTTTGACACATCATTCCAGGAAAATATGTAGAAGAGAAAAGATGATCAGAACGTGGGATTTAACTTCTTGTATCTAAGTAAATCTAAAGTCCTGATGATTTTAAGTTTCTTAGTGAATAGTTTCTATTTTGCAAAACAGTCTTTACCTCAGCAAACAAAATCCTTGATATAGTGATCACCAAGAACGTTCTGAAGCCAACAGGAAGTTTCAAATTTTCACACCACACATATATAAAAACACAGATGTGTATATCCTTGAAAAAGTGACATCCTATGTACATTAATCATTTTATTTCCCCAGGGGGTCAGTACAGTGTAGTGTTGCTCCTTCTGCTTTTCCATCTAACATTCAGAACACAAGGACATAAATTTACATATATATTTTACTTAACAGATACTCTATACAGTGTACAGTAAAGATGCACACAGTAAAGGAAACTGTTTACTGAAGGATGTATATGTTCATGGATAGCAACAAGCTACAAAATTACGAAAATATAGGGTCATCTGATCAAAGTCAAGTTATGACTCCCATTTATTATACTCAGTCCCTGGCCCCACCCCTACCCTACCCCCAGTCACCTCGCCACCATGGTTTAAATTTAGGTTTAAATAAGAATTTCAGACACTTTTTAACCCTTTTATGTAACCATAACTAAACTGAAGCTTCAAAAGAAAAAAAAAAAAGCTGGTGACTCTCTCCTCCCCAAATCCTTTCATTATTCTCATCAAAACATCACTTATTTATTTATCAAGGGCTGGTTTGAACCTTTTATTGGAAACTGACTTTTGGTGTCCCAAATGAATCGCTTATTTCAATAATGGCTAAGTCAGGCTTATTAATAAAAAGGCAAGAAGAAAAGGGGGACGAGAAGGGGGCAATAGGTGAAAGCATTTTACATTCTGAGAGTGTTATAAAAATTTTAAAAAAGAGACCCAGCTGAACCAATGCTAAGTATCAAAACAAACAGAATCAGTAGCAGAAAAGTTCAGGAGTTAATATGATGAGAGAATGGAAATATCACCATTGCCTTACAGAATTTAAGAACGCAGAATTTGTTGTGATTTTCACTGAAATAGTACTACCTCACATGAAAACCCTAAAAAAAAATTAGTTTAAATACAAACTGGGCTCCTCTACAGTAAAAAAAATTAAATTTACTTTTCTTCCAAGACAACTCTTGAAAGCAAAGAATATTTTAATTACAAATATCTCCTACTATCTGACGGCCCGTCCATAATAGCTCAAAGTTAAGAGATTCCAGGCAATTTTGACATTTAATGAAATTTTATCAGTAGATTATAATCCAAAATAAAATTTCTGAACACCCTGTCATTTACATCATAATCCAACACCAATAGCAACAAAAACAGGTGGTGTGGAAAATAAGGCTCTAGAGATTATCCATGTCATTCCTGTGGATCTTCACAACTGTGTAAAAGTCACTAGGCCTTTGGTGCTTTAATATCATGTACAGTTATGAGATGTGTTTAAATAGCAAACTTGCTGTCCTTAAACCTACTGTGTTGAAAGAAAAATAAAAAAAATTTTTGGCTCATTGACTTCTTTAAATAATTTTAAAAAGTTGTTCTTCTAAACAATATTTCTAAAAATTATACAGCTCGCATCAGATTTCATCTTCGCCATGAACGAGACTCATATTCATCTTCATCTTCGTCATCATCATCATGCAAAAACAAATCTGAGGTTTCTGTTTCCTGAAGAAAGAGATAGTAAAATCTGCTTAGTAGTATAAGAACATTAAGTAAAATACTTTTTAAGCCAAAGGACAAATAGACTAATATACAAAGCCCAGGCAGCATTTACAAGCAATGCACTCAGAGTATCTTTCAGGGCAAAAAAAAAAAACAAACCCAGGACTTTTTTTTTTAATGGATATAAATTCTTCTT